GTAGAATGCCCCAGCAGGATCTGTCACATGTGCTCCCACGCTGGCAGAGTTCAAAGCCCGAGTTGACCTTGCAATTTGCTGTACCAACTTACATGACCCAGTACTCATGGATAAACACAAGTGTCTGTAATAGATTTCACGGGCAGTTAAATCCCAAATATCGTTTCACTTTTCCAACTGCTGTATGCGAACTCCAGGAGGAGGCACGAATTTTACCAACATCCCATTTACCGTCATTCCTTATGAATATACCATGATTCACAGATTATACTACGTATACCTCGGTGAGTTTACGGTTGTAAACACAATTTTGCAGACAATTCCACTTGTATATTTTGGAGTTTCACAGTAACCATCCTACCGAACCGGTTAAGCATGAGCCTTTGCCCGTATCAAACCATTGTTTCATTGTTCCATAGCATAGATTTATTTTAATTGGCGTAATTTATGGTTGGGGGGTTGACCTAGGTTAATGCCAGGACGCCCACACCTGACAGGAGAACGACTCAGGTTCTCAGCCAACCCTTCAATAAAGTATACACCCGAATGGCAGCGGGCCGAGTGACATGAGTCAGCGAACCGACTCACGCGGAATCTTGTTCTGTATCTTACATAGAAGAGGGGTAACCCAACTCTCACTCAGCGGTCGCCACGAGGAAGCATCCAGGATATTATCAGCGACGGGTCGACGACCTGCCAGGATCTCGCCACCACAAGCTTCAGCGCACCAATGGCTCTCCTGCCATTATATATCTATATATATAGTATCCTTATGACGAATGCATAGATAATTGCTATTATATATATATATATAATAGCAATTACTTTGGACATAAGGCTACTATGCGTGTCAAGTGCAAAAGCCGAAGGTTGGAAACGGACTAAAACCTGTTCGTTTGTTGTGCACACATCGTTTGGTCTTTTTTCATCATTTTAGTGCTCATCTTGTTGATCGGTAGAATCAGTGCATGAATTCAAACCTATCTGCCACTGAGCGCGAATCAGAGCCATAGCCACAATGATTTTACGCTAACTGTTTTCTTCATCTTTGGATCCCCGACCCGGAAGACCTATAACCTGCAGTAACTGAAACATAAGTGCTCTCGCAAGCGAATAGAGCGCGCGTGCAAATCGGTCGAACGACACACGTAGGACGTGACCTAGGCATCTCAGTTGACAAATCGGTATACAATGGTGCAGAGACAGGCCGATATTACATAAAACATGATGTTTAACATCATGGTGGCAAAAGTGACTTCCCGACCTTACACGAGCTAACCTCCGCAGTAGCCGTTATCGTAGGCCAACATCGGACGCAACTCATTTACAACGTTTGGCAGGGACTCACCACAGTACAACAGTACCGCACGGACACAGGCATTGTAGACCCTGCTATTTACCGAAACTGAGACGTCACGATGACGCCACATATGCTCCAGGTTAGCGAGAGTTGATCGGGCTTTGGAAATACGGAGAACAATCACACATCCAATTGCACCATCAGCATGAGCGCAGATACCTAGGTTGATGATGCCGTCCTCTTATTAAAGATGCGTGCTTTCGTTCATCAACACTGGGACATGCGGATCTCAATGCTGGAGCAGGACTTTGCAGTTCGATAAGACATAGGTCTTGGTATATTTGACAGCTTCAATCGCCAAGTGTTTTAGAAGGGCCGGTATACTTCGTGGGTCTTCACCGGGCAAGGTATTATCAGCTTAGTCCAAGGCATTCATGCAGTTGCCTGAAAGACCTACTCCAAACACTGGAAACTTTCAGAAAGCTTAATAGGACATTCTGAATTGCAAAAATGAATAGAAACTGGGATACGGGGCATCCCTGTTACACAACGCTAGGGCTGGTCATTGGTGAAAGGAGCTGTCCGAGACATCGCTGTATAATGCTCGGCAGACGGCGGTGTACTTTTGAGCAACCCGCTCTTTTGTAGAAAAAAGCAGGCTGGTCGACCTAGTCGAATGCAGCCCGGTTGTTCCAAAAGACTACGGTGCTAGGTTGGTGTTAAAGGTGACAATGCACGAGGAGTTGGCGGAGCGTGAACATATGCGTTACACACCCTCTACCGGAAACCAGCCTATTCCACACTGGAGTAAAATTCGCCAATCGGTGTTAGCCTGCGAACTAGAATACATATTACCGATTCCGGGACGACGGATATTAACCTGATTTCTCTGTGGTTGGTGTTCAATCTAAAGATACCCCAAGGAGATGTAAACTTTTCTTCACACCAATTATTGAATCATAGGACCATTGCCTAGCCACCGTACTTGTACAACTCTGGAAGAATTCCGGCTAAGTAAGCAATCTTGAACCGCTTTAATTGGCGAACCTCAAGGTGAACCTGCGCTTTGGTGTGTGGTTCCAGTGAAAAGTTCTAATGCGCGCAATTAGGCATACTTGTCAGACAGATGGGAAGAGGAGGTGTAGCGCATCAGTGTGTCACTCTCACAAGTCAACAGGTAAGTTGTCGTCGAGTGTAGCCTATATAGTGCTTGTCGTTTCCTCTTCTCTTTACCTTTCCATTTCGTCTTCAGTATCGTTAGAGCCACCATCTCTCATGGGTGTTTTTACGCCACGCGCTCGGTCCTCTACGGGCAGCTGTGACCGTAACACCCAACTAGTCACCAGATATGACACAAGCACACTGTCCATCCAGCTCCGACACTTATTAGGTGGTATTCTAGCCACCTCTAAAGTATCGCCTTTGCCTTTCAACAACGCTTGGTCTAATGCGACTCACGTACGGACACGGAAGCCTTTGGGACCCTCGATCGGACGCATATAACAGGAGGTCAACTGAAAAAAGAGTGGAGGTTCTCAGCCGAGCTGTTCATCTTTGTATGCACATTATTGATTGGTGGCCCGTTAACTTCGAAATTAACCTCCATGATGACAGTTGTTCCGTGGCAAGTGGTCCAAATGATCTAAAATACCTTGCAAAGACTTCCAAAGTGGGCTACTGTGTAGATCAGAATGGTGCTGAAACCAACAAGTTTCGGGATCATTAAGCAGGTTTCGTTTAGGTTGTTGGCTAAGGTTGCGTTGGAGTTCATCAATACCTGTATCAGTTGGGAAAGCCCGGCGACTGTTAACCAATTCCGGAGATTCAGCATTTCAGATGCAGGATGACCTTGGTTGTCTGGCGCCTACTGTGGAAGCATAGAATAAGAAAAACTAGTAGTCTTGTCTTCTGCGATGAAAATTAAGAAATTTTGGTGCCGGCATTTTTCGCGAATGCTTGTGATGTACGTGAGATCGAGCGTAGAATAGGCCATCTGAGCCCTGCACCCCCTGCAGAAGGACGATCTTACCACGCGCAAGATTGCACAACGTAGAGCAGCGAAAACCTTAAGGACATTTTCCATCTACCTATCGATTTAAGCTGAAATCTCTGAGACTGTACAGCGGATGGGACTAACGTCTACAGGGCGAGCTCATAGCGATTTACCAGAACCTGAAAAACCCCAAGCGCTCTTTCTATCATCCTGTGAAATTCAGCAAAACCCATGCTTTAAGAGGTCAGCAATTTAAGTTGACCATGCAGTAAAGCCAACCAGAATGTCGACGAAATATTTTCTTCCTCCGAGTGTCACAAACCTGGAACCGTATCCCTGCGCACTGATTAATAACGCGACGTCATCACTTTTCGAAATACCAATTGATGATACATGGTCACATGGACATTACATGCTATAGTCTGTGTGCATCGAATGGGGACAGTAGTCCTATCCGGGGGGGGGGGACTTACCTCTGTGCTACTGCGTATCATTTTTTGTCTCCTGCTATATGTGTCTTATTTTACCGAAGCTAAATTTTTGCTTTTGTGGTTTTCCCCTCGTGACCTGTCATGCACTTACTTTCTTACCTGTTATAATTCTTTGGTCTAATAGCCAGCAAGTTTAATTGCACTCGAAAGTATTATTGTGTGAGCAACCATTGGTTACGTTCATCTCTCTTTTTCCACTCATCGTTTTGTATCATTTTCACTTATCAAAGCAAGGACAATACGAAGTGTACTACCGGTAGTTTAAATGTTTCTTCGTACTCAAGTTGCCCAGTTGTGGAAACACTGACCACCAGGTCCATGCACAGTATTTGCCGCAACTCAATATGTTGTTCGTATAAGTCATCCTTAAGGTGAAGTGCACACACTTTCGCTCGCACCAACGAAGGGGCCGTTAGTGCTTCAGCTTTACAACAAATCACGAACGTTAGTTTCTTTGCCTTCGTTTTAAAAGTGCTTTATTTATTAATGCGCTGAAAGAAGTTTCAGTGCAACACTTAGGCTAATCATAATGCTGCAAATTTGCGAAGTTAACTACGCTACTTAGTACATTAGAGCACAATCAGGTCTAAATCCACTAACTCAAACGTACCACAGCTGTTGTGGCTTATGGGATAGCTCGTTGTTTGAAAACACTATAAGGAAACGTTCGCGTTTGAAGAAGTTTTGTGCCAACATTAGCCCTGAGGAGAGCAAACAAATGGGGGTTAATTTCACCGCAAACGTAACTGTGTAATAAATTAGGCAACAGTACAGTAGTGTATTGCGAGTTAATCCTACTAGCTTCCAAGTCAGGTTATATACCAAGCATCCAGAAAGGCACCAGACTGCTGTTACCATTTATGAAACTCATCAGTGATAAGCATCCCTCTGATCCATCCGAACACAAGCCAATGACCTTTATCGGCCTGCGCCACAAGTCATCAGCTTTTACCACCTGGTCACGAGTCACTGCAAAATGTTATCATGACTTACAACCTAACTGCGATATAATGCGGCACATTCTTCACTGTTATACAAGTTAAGGATAGTGCGGAGGAAGGGTTAGACCATAGAGACACAACTTTTCACAACAGTAGCAATGCACGACATAGCATTTAGGAGCTGTTAGGTCGAATGTTTTGACTACTAACAAGCACATGGAGCCTTAGTTCTAGCGCTGCTACACCGCACTGCTTCTCACTAAGTTCCTTCATCAATGGTGGTTTTATCGATGCTCCACAATTACAAAAAATTCACATCTCTCCCTAAAAATGCTTCTCTGCAACTAAACTCCTTTATCAAATTTAAGATGGCTCTGGTCAGCGAGATCGCAAAGGAAGAAAAACTGAACTTGGATGCCCCTGATGGAGAGGATCACTGGCCACAGAAACCCGAGGTGAAGCAATGCGATTACGTCAACTTGCTGAACCGCGTCAGCCTCATCGAGAGCTCTATTGTTTCCGTGGTGCAACACTTAGACAATGCCCTGAAGGAGATGAGAAGAGTAGAAGAAGCGAAGCTTATCCGAATGGATACGATGACGAAGCTCATACGAACTGTTTCCGGAGTGAGTCCACTGTCTTGTAGATGCATCTGTGAGCTCTGACGTGGTCTGTTAACTAGCTTCTGCTCCGCAGGATTTAGTAATAAGTGGTTTCCATATGATCACAGGATCTGTGTTTCTGGAGCATCTTACAGCTAAGAAAGAGATCTCCGGAGCACATTGCACTAACTTGTGAATGTGTTGCGTAGTTTCACAAATTGTCTTACTTTGGCCAGTTACCTGGTATTTTCAGCTGTTACAAATAAGATAACCAGTTAACTACATTGCCTTTGCCCGTTTTCAGACTGAACCGGAGGAAAGAGCAGAAAAGCTACAAGAAATTTTGGATGACGGTCTACAACAGTATGAAGAACGCAGCGAACAGCAGAGTGACTCGCTGGTGCCAAAGGAGTAAATATTAAAGGTGTGTTGGCATAAAAAATATTTACCAGTTCGAAACGTGCAAGCAGACGGCGGGTGGATACTCCGGGCTACCAAGATCCTTAAATACTGTGGCATCTATAACTTGCAGGGAAAAGAAACAATTATGTTGTATATCCTCTTGGCTGCTTTGGGTTGAAACGGACCATAGTTAAAGCATGAAAGTGTGTTACACTGTGCGCATTTGCACAATGGTTCTCATGAGAAGCTAAACAACCCGAATCGTCCGCAATGTTTCCCATGTATGCAGCGTTTAGCAATATCATGTGATGCTACTGCTAAGTAACAATGCGTAACACTGCTTGTAAAACTGGATTCGTCAAACTAAATGTGACACACGACCGTCTTCCGTGCATGGTCAAGTTGGGTGCAGAGGTAACCGAATTCGAGTGCGAGTTCCAAGGCTCTAGGTCTTAATGTAGAGAAAACGACGCAGGGGGGTAGAGCACATATTGCCACAAAAATGTGCAATTGATAAATCACAAATCCATACAAATGTGGACCTGTTTACTTCCCACGATGCAACGCAAAGGAAGGTTTGTGTGACGGACCATTCCAAGAGTCTACGAGGTTGGGCTTCGAGATAACCCTACTATCTTTCCACTCCGTATCTCCGCTTCGCAACAGCCGATTCTGGCTAGCCAGTAGTCGTTCGAAAGCTCGCGATTTGCACACCCGTAGCTGCATCACTCGACTCGCATTCACTGCTGCGGGCTTCGTTAACGGTGTATTTGTCTGATACATTGCTTTCTCGACAAAAACCTCCAGGGCCAGGCTCGATACCAGATGCCGCCCGTGATGCGCTGTCGGCTCGATCCGCAACGCTCGCAGAGCTTTGTCTCCTCTCTTCCATTGCACCCGTTCTTAATTCTCTACAACCCCGTTTTTGTTGTCGTTCCGATTCACGACTAGTCACTGACTTCCGCCGCCCTACACTAAGAAAAAAGCAGTACCTGTGTCACTTCAAACGGTCGGAATTTACTGTTAATATTATTGACCAAAATAGTTAGCTGCCCGCAACACACCGGATTGGTGACGCGCATTCTCGTGCACACCATGATGAGATGAATACACAACCAACATCGTCGCTCTCTACACAGTCTAAGTAGCCCAAATCACTTATGCTTCCGAAACTAACGACGGCACTCGACAGTATTTTTCCTTCTAACTGCAACCCAACTAATGCAACGTGATCGCCCTTTCCGTTTAAAGATCAACTTCAGATAGACTAAGCAGCCTAGGCTCGCTCATGGATATCGCGCCATAGGGGGATATGCATTGGTTCAAGTCAACTTGAGCTTTCTTGTGAAGATAACCTTCATAAACACTAGCAAAAAATTTGCATCCATGTGGTATACAATAAACTAGCCTTTTAGTCACATTTACTGGTGCCACATCGGCCCAACTAGATCTGCTAAGTTCATCTTGTTTGGACGCACCAAGAGTGCAGTTTATGGTAGAGGTCTAAAGGCTTCGCCCAGCAAGCTTAAACGCGGTGTTGGCGACATGTTTGAAAAAAATCGGCACTTATCCACCTTGAATAAAAGCGAAGTAGATGCAGTTAAAAATATTCTCAAGAATTTTCGATGCGCAGAGTGGTCACAGGCTCAGTTAATGATACACTGTAACGTGGTAGCATTAGTAGAGCAGTTAATCTGCAGTAAGCCCTCTCGCAAGGTAGACATCAAGTCTATCCTCTTGCCTAAGCACAACTGCAACCTGTGGCTATCTGGAATCCATCCTCTGTGGGCGGTATTGGCTGGGACTATATCGCTGTTTCACTATCTACAAAATGTTGGAGTGCATTTGAACTACTGGTTGTGTGAATCGGTTACGTAACTGAAATTGCCTGTACATAACCCTTCACACAACAGGTGCTTCAGGATGACCCTAAACGAATCATCTGTCAAAGTAAGAAGTTTAAATCAGTTACTTCCCTTCAACAATGTGAAACGCACGGAAGAAATACGAAATGTAGTGGATTCACTTATTGTAACAAGCACTGTAAATAATAAATATGTTGTCCATTTCTTAACGGTGCGAGATAC